TTCCACACGCAGCTCGCGCACGGCAGCGCCACCGGCCGCGTGGAGGGCCCTACCAACGTCCGGCCCCGTGTTGATCCCTCCCCTCCGGCCCCCTGACCGGAGCCGGCACAGGTCCGGGGCGACCCCCCCGCCCTCCCCCCGGACCTGTGCCGGCTCCATGTTGAACGCCTCCCCGAGTTTGGTGTAGAGCTCCCGGACGTTGGTGAAACCCTCCACGCGGCCGGTGGCGCTGCCGTGCGCGAGCTGCGTGTGGAAGACCAGGCGCGGCCGGAGCGGGGGGCCTGAGGAGGAGGCCGACCCTGACCCGGGGCCCGAACCCGGCTCCCCGCCCGCCACCTCCGGCTCCAGCTGCCGGCTCTCGGCATCCGCTTCGTCGTTGTCCACCAGGGGAGCAGCTTTCTTCCAGCGACCCAGCGGCATTGCCCCGGCTCGTCGGCGGCGGCAGCAATGACCCGGCTCCCGCGGAGCTCCCGGGCTCCTGTCAGAGAAACGGCCGCCCAAGGGGCGGAACCCCGGCTCCAGGGGTATGTGATAGACAGCGGCGGCAACCAATCGGAAATCAGCGCTGACCGTTTATTAATAATTAATAAGCCTATCTACCAATACAAACCCAGAGTAGTCGCCCTCGCCCACCCAGGTCACGCAACGAAGGTCTTTATGAATATTAATAGATTTGGCTTGAAATTAATTATTAATCATCCAATCCGACCAATCTGGAAGGGACCTGCAAATAAGATGCATACATAATTAAACTTTAATATTCTGGTCAGATGGGATCAGCTCTGGGGAAAAGGATTGTAGAGAGAGGAACCCCCAAGACATTTAATAAGTATTTAGATGAACACTTGAAATGCCACAACGTACAAGGCTAAGTGCTGGAAAATGAGATTAAAATGGATAAATGTTTGATGACTGGCATTGACACAGTGGGCACAAGGGCCTTTTTCTATGCTATAAAAACTGTGTGACTGTAAAGGGTCTTGGGTTGGGCAAGGCTATATAAATGCAAGCTATTTGTTTCAATTCCGATGTAAAAAGTGTGGTCATTACCAAACACAATGCATCCGATCCACTGAATCATAGAGGTGTACAGCATGGAAGCAGACTCTTTGGTCCAACTCATCCATACCAACCAGATATCCTATATTAATCTTGTCCCATTTGCCAGCAATTGGCCCATATCCCTCCAAACCTTTCCTATTCATTTACACATCCAGATGCCTCTTAAATGTTGTAATTATATCAGCATCCACCACTTCCTCTGGCAGCTTGTTCCATGCATGTACCACCCTCTGTGTGAAAATGTTTCCCATTAGGTCCTTTTTATATCTTTCCCCTCTCACCTCTCCTATGCTGGGGAAAAGACTTTAGCAATTCACCCTATCTATGCCCCTAATGATTTTATAAACCTCAATAAGGTCACCCCTCAGCCTCTGATGCTCCAGGGAAAATAGCTCCAGCCTATTTAGTCTCTCCCTACGGCTCAAACTCTCTATCTCTAGCCACATCCTTGTAAATCTTTTCTGAACTCTTTCAAGTTTCACAACATCTTTCCTATAGCTGGAACCAACAAAAGTTTGTTGACTTTTGACATCTAGACTCGAAACATTAGCTTGCCCTCTCTCCACGGATGCTGCCTGACCCGCAGTGATTTCCAGCATTTTTTTGTTTTCAGTCTATATGCCCAACATCTGGGTAAGTCATTTTCACTTTCCAGAAAATTACATTCTATAGACTTCAAAACACACAGTAATTCTGGTGAAAGTACTGCGGCAATGACTATTGTAATACAGCTGGCTTTCTGCATAGTGACCTATCAACATAAAGTTGGTAGTGGGTACTGTCCCTATCTCTGAGCCAGAAACTCCAGGGTCAATTCCCACTCTGGGACATGGATGACCAGGGAGGACACATTCATAATCTGAATGGTGAATGCAGTAGCAGCAGGAGACGTTCCTAGTTTGCTGTGCAATACAGAAAATGTTGGACCTTCATCTGTAGGTCCAGACAACATGTAAAATGCATGCTACCAGAGCAACTCAGACACTGAGTGAACAGTAACATGCCATCAGCATAAATTACTTCTACTGGGAGTTCAGTCATTACTTCTTGTAAAAGGGTTTTCAATTTACCACAGAGCAGAAGTAACATTATAACCACAATAATGCATCTTATATTTTCTGCCATCATCTCACCACTCCCTGATACTAACTCATAGCTTCTGTGAGTTGGCAAGAGATTATTGCCATGCCAAATCCTTTCTTTCTCAAAGTGCTTTTAAAATTAAAACTGTCCAGCAAGTGCTGCTTTTAAGTAACTGTCAAGCACAGGGGGCTGCTCTGAATAGCACTACTGTGCTCCACGTCATCTCAAACTGAAGGATGTAAAGGATATAAGATTGTCACTAATAAATTCATTAAGAAATTCAGGAGAAACCTCTTAATCCAAGAGAGCAGTAAGAACCTAGATGCCGTTCTTTCTTCTTCCAGGATGTAAGGTCACTGACAAGGCCAGGATTCATTGCTCATCAGACAGCAATAATATCAACCACATTGTTGTGGGTCATAGAATCTTTCCAGCATGTAAGGAGGCCCTTTAGCCTATCGTGTCTGTGCTGGTCATCAAGCATCTGTCTATTCCAATGCCATTTCCCAGCACTTGGCCTGTAGCCTGTATGCTGTAGCATTTCAAGCGCTCATCTAAATATTTCTTAAATGTCTTGAGTGTTCCTGCCTCTACCACCCTTGTAGGCAGTGAATTCTGATACCCACCACCCTCTGGGTGAAAAGGTATTTTCCTCAAATCCCATCTTAACCTCCTGTTCCTTACCTTAAAACTGTGCTCCAGATTAGTGATCACTCTACCAGGAAGAAAGGTTTCTCCCTATATACCCATTCTATGCCCCTCAAACTTTGTACACTTCAATCAGGTCACCTCTTCTCAGCCTTCTCTGCTCTAAGGAAAACAACCTTCATCTATCTAGTCTCTCATAGCTGAATCATTCCAGCCAAGTAACATCCTGTCCAGTGCAATCACATCTTTCCTATGGCATGGCGACCAGAACTGCACACAGTATTCCAGCCGTGGCCTATGTAATGGTACATACAGCTCCATTGTAACCTCCTTGCTCTAGTATTCAATCTCTTGACTAACGAAGACAAGTATCCCACATGCCTTCTAAACCACTAGGGGTCTGGAGTCACGTATATGCCCAGACCACATAAGCACAGATTTCCTTTCCTAAAGGGCATTAGTGAACCAGATGTGCTTTCACAACAAATACATTCATGCTCACCATCACTAGGACCAGCTCTGAATTGCAGATTATACTAACTGAATTGAAATTTCACCAGCTGTTCTGAACACTAGCCCACACCTCTGGCTCAGTGACATTACCACACCACCACCATTGCTTAGAACAAAGAGTATTTGGAGAGAATAATGTAAATGCATTTAGAGGGAAATCAGGATAAAGGCATGGGAGAAAGGATTTGGAGGATATGCTGTTGGGTTGAGAGTGGGAGGAGGTTCATGTGTAACAATAGCATGGACCAGTTAAGTGGAATGGCCTGTTCCTGAGTTCTACATTCAGTGCAAAACAAAGGCACAGCATTAGCTCTGTCTTCATGTTGCATGAACAGGCAGGCTTCACTGGGCGGTGTGCGGTAAGAATGCCAAGCTGCAGATTCTCTGAATATCTGCCAATTTAAAACAAGGAGCACAGCCAATACAACAAAACCTATGTCATTATCAAAGTCCAGTCCTGGAAAATACCTCGAAACCTCTGAAAGGGTATTGGAAGCAGACTCGATAGCAACTTTCAAAAGGAAAATTGTATAAATAAATGAAAAAGAAGCTTAGCATGGCTGTGTGGAACTAATTGAAGAAAGTTTGTGGGCTGAATGTCCTCTCTGTGTGTCATACATTATAAACCTCTGCTAAACTATAGTATTCACTCTTTTCTTTTTATATTTTCCTTAGCCTCTCCCCATTTACTTATTGTCTGTCTCAGCTTCAGTCCCAAAGGAGCGACAGATTTTTTAATGGTTTAGTTGATTATAAATAAAATGCCTCACTCTGCTCAATATCCTAGAATAGCAACACTTTCCAATATTTATTACCATGTTTTGAAAATATTTCTTTTAACAGAATGGTTACACTCAGCCTTTCTTCTCAAGTTTGGTGTCTGAAGGCAGGGCTGACTTATTAATGCCATGACCTCCGTGTAAAAGCAGCCCACTTGATTGGCACCACATCCACATTCATTCACACCCTCCACCATCAACACTCAGCAGTGTGTACCATCTACAAGTTGCATTCCAGAAATTCTCCAAGCCTCCTCAGACAGCACCTTCCAAACCCACATTCACTCTCATCCGGAAGGACACGGGCAGCAGTTACAATGGGAACACCACCCCCTGCAAGTTCCCCTCCAAGCCACTCCTGACTTGGAACTATGTCACTGTTCTTTCAGTGTCAAAATCCTAGAATTTCCCTAACAGGATTGTGGGTCAACCAACAGCGCATAGATTTCAATAGTTCAAAAAAAGGCAGTTCACCAATACCTTCAAGAATAATTAAGGACAGGCAATAAATGCTGGCCCAGCAGAATGGGAATTGAAGCCCCATGCTGTACAATAATCTGATCCACACTGACTGCCTAGCAACTTAACCAATGTCAACATTTACCCAAGTGTTATATCCTGGAGCCATTGATAGTGATGGTCAAGGTTCCAATCTTGTTCCATCACATAACTCACCAGGAATTGCTCCCTGCCACCACCCGCAATCAGCTTTGTAGATTGATACTCAGCCCATTTAACTGATCTTCCTTAAGCCCTGGAGCAAAACTCAAACCTGGTACTTCTGACTCAGAGACAGGGATGTTTCCCCCTCCATCACATGACCTCCTCTTTTATGTTTGGATTACGACTATAATGCTGCTCACTACCGTACAAGGAATTTCAGAGATCAATAATATGGGACATTGTCAAAGTTTCAGTGGGGCAGCTGTGTCAGATGTAAGGCTGGTTACCTGCATACCTGTACTGGTCTGTAGATAGAATTAAACTTTTTCTGTTAAAACATTTAAGAGTGCTTACAAAATTAAAATGATTCCATCCGAATTCTCCCAGTTATGTAGCATGGAAGTCCCCACTATGTAATGGTGTCACTTTGTGGAAACCATCTTTCTCCAACTAGCTTCTGCAACCAAGTATCTGCAGACAAAACTGAAAATACTGACAGATTCAACTCTTGCCACTTTGAACAGGGTAGCTCATTTCAAGCTGGTTCATATGACACCAAGTATCACTGTAATCTTATCCGTCAAATTTAAAGACCAGTCCCAAGTATTGTGCTAATCCTAGATAATCCAGTTGACCGACAGTCAACAGACAGTACAGAATAAAGGGAGGCTCAAACTTAATTATTAAAAACCCAGGTTGCCCTTAAATTTATAAATTGCAGTGAAGTAGATCAGAAGGAACCAGTGCTATAGAATGAACG